AAATAAATAAATAAATAAATAAATAAATGCCTCTGGTTTGACTGCACAACTCTCACAGCCACGATAGTTACCAAATAACTTTTCAAAGCTCTGAAGTTCAGAGTTCCTCTTGAAATGGCCACCTTTATGGCATTGATGAAAAGATTACAGAGTGATGTCACCAGAGAGGGGAAATTGGTGCCTTCCAGCTTGGTAGCCTTTGACACCACCCCCAACCATCTATAAGGGGTGATTCAGCTCCAGCCTTTGTGTCCCTCAGATCTTCCAGGAAGATGCCTCATTTTTAAGGTTTTAGCCCATCAGTTTTAGAAATTTGCTCTAGGAGTAGTTCTTCAGGGTTCATACAGAGACCCTTCCCCTTCTTCTCACCTGCAATAGTAGTGGCGGCCAAATTTGGCCCAATGATCTCGGACAATTTCCTCCACACTCTGCTTCCGGGCAGCAATAATGGAGAGCCAGACCAAGACAGCCCACAGGCCATCCTTCTCTCGGAGGTGGTCAGAGCCTAAGGGTGAAAGAAAGATTCTGCTGAGGATTCATTTCTGGGAGCAAAGCAAAAGCTAAACGAGCTAAGAAGACCAGTTAGCAACCGAGTGTTATATGGAAATGATTGGATCTATTTACCCATTATATTAAATATATGTCTCATAATACATTTGAGTTTCTGAAAAATATGCAACTGAAATTCAAAGAAAAAAATAACAAAAAATAAAACATGGAAATTTCTGAAGGAATCAAAGAGCCAAGGTGACATCTCATTAGTTCAATGAGATTATTCATTTATTCAGTAAATGTTTGGTGACCCCTACAGTACATCAAGCATTGTTCTATGTCTTGGGGTATAGCAGTGAACAAGATAGCTCTTTACTCATAAAGTTTGAATCCAAGTAGGTGGAGGTAGTGAAGTCAGGCAAAGAAAAGCAGATAAGAGAACAAGATGCATCAAATAAGGACAAGTGCTTTGAAGAAAATAAAGAGGTGATGATGTCACAGAGCGTAACAGCACAAAGGTTACTTGACGTAAGGCTGGATGGCAGTCCCCCACCCGACAGCTATGTCCACCTGGAACCTGTGAATGTAACCTTATTGGGGGAAATGGTCTTTGTAGATATAAGTAAATTAGTGATCTTGAGGTGAGATTATTGCAATCTCATCCAGATTATCCAAGTGGTACCTAAATCCAATGATAAACGTTCTTATAAGAAGAGAAGACAGAAGAGGAGAAATACAGAGGGGTAAACTATATGCAGTTAGAGGCAGAGATTGCACTTATGCTGCCACAAGTCACAGAATGCGTGGAGCCACCAGAATCTGAAAGACGCAAGGGGGATCCTCCTCTAGAGCCTTCCAAGGAAGCATGGTCCTGCCAACACCTTGGTTTTAGACTTCTGGCCTCCAGAACTATAAGAGAACACATTTCTACTGCTTCAAGCCACTCAGTTGGTGGCGATTTGTTACGGCAGCCATAGGAGATTAATACAGGTAATTAGGGTCTGCCGCCACTGAGGCAATGGCATCTGAGCTGACACCTCAGAAGGAGTCAGCCATGCCAAGACCTAGGGATGACGTATTCCAAGCTAGGGTACAGAAAAAAAGCAAAGTCCCTGAGGCAGGGATGAATGGAGAAGCTAAATCTCACAGCGATTCATATAGAAAGAGTTAGAGGCAGTTCTTATTGCATCATGCACACAGATGAAGACTGCAGTCTAAATCACCAGCTTCTCGTGCAGTGAGAACGCAGAAGAATGTGTCACAGGCCCATTTAAGTTATCTGTCTGCTAGCAAATTATAAGCTCTCTCTGAAGTGAGTAAAGCCCTGAATGTAAAGAAATGTAGTGCGAGACATGTGGTATCATGGGAAAGGCTTTAGAACAGTGCTTAAACCAAATTGTGACTTCACAGATGTCTGGAAAGTTATTACAAAGTCATCAGCTTCCCTGAGCCTCAGCTTCTCATTTGTAAAATGGGGACCCCATCACCCATTTTACAGCATTGTTGTATCAACTTAATCAAGTTAAGAGGACAGGCATAGAGTTAGATTTCTTGTGTTCTAATCCTGCCTCCACCATTTGCCTTTGTTTGCTGTACTCATCTGTAACCTATGGACGATAACAGGCCATAACCCATGTGGTTACTGTCAGCATTAAGCAACTAAATATGTCTAGGTGTTTAGAACAGTGACTGGGATATCACACATTTTTGCTGTTGATCTTGTTGTTGGTAATTTTAATAAAGCTGTACAAATTACAGTACAGTGCTCATTTCTCGCTACACACTTTCAGAAATTGTTCTTGGCTATTTGTGTAATTATATCTTCTAACTCTAGCAATAGTAACATCTTAAGAAACAGGACTGTGTCCAAGAGGTGGACCTTCTTGCAGCAGGGCAATGAGAAGGGACAACAGTACTCTCGGGTTTCGGAACTATGAAACATACACAGAAAACCAAGCAGGGAAACCCAACCAGGGAAAGGTGTTTAACCCCTGAAAAAAATAATACAATGGGAATAAACAACACTTTACTTAAGTCAAACATATTTGACAACTTCTGACTAAAGCTGTAGCCCATTTACCATTCTTATGACGTTTATAAATGTTAAATGTTTTGTTTTGTTTTTTTCTCAATAAAGAAAACAACCCTGAGGAGGGCCGTGAAGGTACTAAAATCAATAAGAAAAAGGGTCAGGTTTTTAATTCTGCCTACACACTGATCAAGGCTCTGCTAACGGCATGTTGAATGTCAGGTTGTGGTTGCTTATGGGGTAACAGGACCCTGGGCATTAATCATCACACCAAGAAGTGTCTCTAGTCTCATCTAGTGAATTCTTCACCCTGCTACAAAAATGGAAGAAGTTTGGAAGACTGAGTTAGCTCCATGGCCAACTGCCAAAAAACAAGTCTAGGAAAACCTGCCCAGTGGGATCATTTCAAAACCTTTTGTCCTTTTATAGCTGAAAAAAAAATCACTTTTATTTACTGGCTAGACAAAAATACCCCTTTGTTCTAAAACGTGGGCTTTGCGTACCTTCAAACTCCAGCTGGATTACATTACCTAGAGATAGAACCATTAGATGCTGCTAAATCTGTGAGATAAGATGTCATAATTTAGTGCTAGAGAAACATTAAGTTCTTTTAGTTGGATAAACAAAAAACCCACCTCAACGTTTGTAGCCAATTGCATAGTAAATTGTGAGTTGGCTTGGATATCCTTGCCCACAAGTTAAACATTTGCCAAGATTAATAAGGGGCTGATGATGAAGTAAAATTAACAATGCCCTTTATAGTTGTTTGAGTTTGGGACAAAGACATTAATGATGCTTCAGTTACACAGATGTTTCCACTGGATGATTATCGTCTGCTTTGGAGGGGGTTGGGGGGTTATAACTCTCCTTTTAAAAAGCCTTTCAGGCAAGTGAATGTTAATGCTGTATCAGTGATAGGCAGATTAAACAAGAAATACCAGAAAGTACAAAGGTATCAAATGGTTTTCTGAAACCCCACTAGAAACGGAGTACAAATGGGAGTAGAAATGTTCATGCTATATATATGGTAGGGCTAACACGCTGGATATTAAAAGTTTTCGTAAGTCAGTAAGAAAAAGAGAAACCTCAATGGACAACGGCATGAAAGGGCATAAGCAGGCAATTTTCAGAGGAAAATACTACAGTCAACATCGGAACAAATGTTCATCCTCATTGTGGTCAAAGAAAAGTGTGTAAAATTGGATACCACTTGGGGCCTGTCAGGTTAGCAAAGGTTGGACAGGGGAAGAGTTAACTTGGCAATTATGATCAATAGTCTTTAAAAATATCATGCTGCTTTCGACCTAGCTATTTTATTTCTTAACCTTAAGTTATAGGACATTTAACGAAGTACATAACAGAATAAAGAAAAATTGAAAAAATGTCGTTTTGTTTTGTTTTTCTGGATAGCATCTCGCTCTGTCACCCAGGCTGGAGGGGAAGGGCGTGATCACAGCTCACTGCAGCCTCGACCTCCCAGGCTCAAGTGATCGAAATTTAGGTGCATACCACCCCTCCTGGCTAACTTATTTATTTACTTTTTGTAGAGATGGGGTCTCACTATGTTACCCAGGCTTGATTGCTGAACAATAGGATCATCGTAGAAAATTCATTCAAAAGCTTGTGTGTAGACAAAGTAAATCAAATAAGAATCTTTAGTAACACAGAAAATCATGTTAATCCAATCCTTTTCTTTTTTATTGTATTTTTATAGTTTCAAGAGATATAAGTCCGTTTTGTTACATGGATATATTACCTAGTGGCTTTTAGTGTACTCATCACTTAAACAGCAAACGTGTATCCAATAGGCAATTGTTCATTCAATTTTAATAAATGGAAAATTCATTAAAAAAGAATATTCAGTATATTTGTATTAAACATACATATTTAATTAAATATATATTTGTATTAAATATTTATATTAATATTATAAAAAAGAATATTCAGTATATTTGTATTAAAAATATAGACATGTATATATGTGTGTACACAGGTAAACAGAATATACACCAAACTGTTAACATGGTTATCTCCGATGTGGTAGAACTGCAGATGTTTTTCCTCTCTTTCCTTTTAAATATTTTCACAATAACAATATATTATTTCATAAGAAAAAAAATAAATTTTTTAAGTTGTTGACTGGCCACAGTGGCTTACGCCTATAATCCCAGCAGTTTGTGAGGCCAAGGTGGGTGGATCACCTGCGGACAGGAGTTCGAGACCAGCCAAGCCAACATGGTGAAACACTTCCTCTACTAAAAATATGAAAAAAAGAATTAGCTGGGCCTGGTGCCAGACACCTGTAATGCTTGTTACTTGGGAGGCTGAGGCAGGAGAATCATTTGAACCTGGGACGCAGAGGTTGCAGTGAGCTGAGATCACATCACTTCACTCCAGCCTGGGCAACAAGAGTAAAACTCCACCTCAAATAAATAAAATTAAATAAAGAAAGTTGTCAATGGTGCATAGAAATTCACATTTAAAGCATGCCTTTTCTAGAGTCATAGTTGGGCTCATCTAGTATGTATTTTTTTTTCCTGATTGTCTTCTTTCACTTAGTAATCTGAATTTATGGTTCCTTCACATCTTTTTATGGCTTGAGAATGCATGTCTTTTTAGCACTGAGTAACACCAGCACAATTTTTGAAGCTTGCTTCTTCTGGACTTCTGGCTGGTGACGCAACCAGAGCTTGCCACCTGGCTCAGGACATTGCAGGAAGAATGTACCCATATTTCCAAAGCTGTAAGTACCATTCACCTTGCCTTTCTTAACCAGCCCAGTGCAGCACAGCCCACACAACCTTACTCTGAGCAGCCCTGAGAAGCAGCCATCTCGACTCATAAACCGGAAGGAGGGGGGGCACTCAGCTCTTCTCTGCCATGACTCTGGCAAAAACTGGTTCAGAAAAGAAGGCCCCCTTTTTTTTCTAGAGTAATATCGCTGTTCCCCCTCCACCGAAATTAAACTGAATTTTCTCAATCTT